GCTGGAGTTTGACAGCTGCAACGTGAGAGCGCATGGCACGGGCCTGAGACACTGCCACCACAAACACTCTCATATACAGAACTACAATGACTGTAATGGGAATAATAAAGGCAACAACAAGGTCTACATCTCCTGCAACGCTAACCACACACTCTCCATAGCAGGAATTATACCTGCCCGGTTGTTTCAGGTGGTCATATAACATGAAAACGCTGTAGAGAACAGAGCAGATCCAACACAGACAAAGACTGACAGTAACTAGTTTTTCAGTGACTCTGGTGGGGTAATGCAGAGGGTCACAAACCGCCACATAGCGGTCGATTGATATGAGCACCATGCTTCCTACAGAGGCAGAGATCAGGGTGACCGGTAGGAAGAAATACAGAGCACATATGAGGTCACCCAGGACCCAGCAGGTCCCGGTCATGAGGACTTCAATCGGCAACACCAGGAGGCCCACGAAGAAGTCTGAGACAGCCAGAGAGAGGAGGAGGAGGTTGGTGGGGGAGTGGAGCTGCCTGCAGGGAGAGGTTAACATCATTGTGTATCGTCACCAATATTATCACCAAAAAGAGCTGTGCAATAAACACAGTAAGAATACTTTAAAGACACAGTATATCACAATAAAAAGAGAGCTAAGGGCTCAAATAGAGTTAAATAAGATTGTGAGTTTGTGCAGAAATAATCTGAAAGCCTGTGGTTGTACATCAGCCTCGTGTACCTGTGAAAACACTTTGCAGGAGAAACCTGAAGTTTGTGGAAACAAATTCTACAACTCCAACTCCTTTTCTAAAACCACCTCCCAAACTGTTTTCAGCCCAAGTGCACAAAGGATCACAACACAAGCTTTGAAATTCATTCTGAACATCATTTCAGTTTAACAGTAAATGTGGTGAAGCTGAGAGGTTGATCTCTGCCTGAAGTGGGAAATGGAGATGATGACAAGCAGGTTGAGAGCAGCAGTGAGCACAGAGATGAAGAACAGCAGGATGTAAACGAGCAGATCCTCAAACTGAGGAGGATCCGGCCTCCTGCATGAGGCGTTGAGGAGTTGTGGAAAGCAGAGTTCAACTTCTTCCATCATCAGAGAGAAGAGAAGCTGCTGAGCTCTCTGTGAGTCATACACTTCATTTATCTCTTTCTCCTACCTCCCCTCTCAAACCCGAAGGGAGAGGAAGAGGGCATGCTTTCTAGTAATGTCGGGCCCCAGTGCGAGTACATTTAATGGTGAGCTCAACTCTACTACATTATTCTCTGAGATTATGAAGTCAGTGAATACAGACACCACTACTCGTGCACTGAGGCCTCCTTTATACCACTGTCCAAAAGCAAAACTTCAGACCGGCTTCTCCAACCGAAAGGACCACATCATCATAGAGATATGATTGACTGATAATAACCAGGGCTGTAGTGGAGAGTTACTGCCTGGACCCACACTGTTATACAATAACAACATGTGTTTCAAGGTAATTTCTTTGGCATGGTGTATTTACGGTCTGATGTACCCCAACTGCCCTGGGAGGTGAGCTCACAGAGGCAGAGGCCACCATGTGAGCTTTCACACCAAAAATAAAAGGCATCATCCAATCACATTGTGAATAGATGTCACCTCACAACTCATGATGAGCTGTTGATTGATTACTTTACGACAAAGGACACAAAAAGACAATGTGATCACAGTGAGTTGGGAGGGCACAGGCTGCTATGTGGCATTTACCGACAGGGAACTGAAGCCATTATATCATCTACATGCTTTCTTCAAAGCCCACAAAAAAAGGCCTTAAGCAAGGTAGTCCAGACATCCCTCTTCTCAGAACCGTCTGCCAGCCAGACATTTTAATTATAGGTCTACCCAGTGGTCTCCTGTCAGTTGGATGTCCACCGGCAGACGGCCAGGAAGCATCCTTATGAGATGCTGGAACCGAACTGGCTCTGTTCGACACAGAAGATCAACGGTTAGACGCTGACCTCCCTCCTGATATCTACCCTCCTTACTTTATCTCTAAGGCTGTGGAGTTTGGAGATCAAGCAGCAGGTTTCAAGGTTCAACAATCTTTGTCAGCACCCTGGCATACGCTTTTCCAGGGAGGCTGAGCACCCCAACAATTAGGACTAGCTCTGATTTCCATGGGACTACCACTGCGGTCTGCCTGTCGACAAGCACTGTCCCCGACGTTCATACAACACAGACACTCCCACAATGTCCAAAACCTTCAGCTACTCGAGGAAAATGTCATCCACGCCTGACACCTTGCGACTGGGGAGCTTAACTCCCTCATAGACCTCTGCAGGGATATAGGTAAGGCCTCCAAACACTGCCTCCTCCACACAGGATGTATTGGTTGGGTTTAGGAGCTCCTCAAAGTGCTCCACCGCCCTACAACATCCATAGTCAGAGTTTGCAGTTCTCCTCCCCTGCTGAACTCTGCTTGTGTCTTGTGACTGGTTAACTGGCTGACTGGGAGTTGAGGTTGCCACAGCCACACAAGCTCTCGCCGGTCAGGTGAGGGCAGGGGCGGAGGCTCCTGTTGTCACCCAGGTTTCTAGCATGGATCCGGTAGCTCTGATACAGGCTGGGGTAGATATGGAGGATCTGATCTGGCCCTCCGCATGACATAGGTTGACATTATGTACCTCCGCATAAGGGCTCTGGAGCTACATCGTCCGTGCCTGACTACTTCTACTCCTGTAAGTATGTGTCTTCCCACTACTTCCTCTGAGCAATTTGATGTAGTTCCACCATTAGAGAAAGTGAAGTTGATTCTTACTTTAATGCTTTTGAGCGCATCGCAGCAACTTTAAAATGGCCCAAAGATGTGTGGAGTTTGCTCCATAAATGGTGCAATGCGAGTAAAGTGACAAACTTTGCCTCAACTATGTGAATTGGTTTTGTTGGAAGAGTTTAAAATGTGTCTTCCAGAAAAGATTGTAGTTTACTTACAGAAAGCAGATTTTTTGTCCAAAGCTGCTGTGTAATCGCGAATGAGTTTGTTTTGACACACCATGTTGCTTTTCTGGCCGGGCGCCGCATGCACACTTCGGTTGCAAACACTGCAAAAATCTTTCAAAAATATCTACAGAAACCTTCCTTGTTTCATATGACCATTAATGTTTTTACTGCCATGAGACAGGGCACCTGATAGCCAGCTGCCCTGGGCTCCAGCTTAAAAAACATAATCATAGTGTAAAAAGGCTAAAAAGTGTTGGGTTTGTTCAGCCTGTTCCCACTCCCTCTCCTGTCAGTACTGATGAACCAGAAAAAGATGAGGTGGATGAGGGCTACGGACCTTTCATTCTACAAGGTTCAGACTGACAGGAAATGAGGAAGATCAGGTTCCAATCACAATTTTGCGTGATACAGAAGCTAATCAGTCCCTCATTTTGCAAAAAGTGCTGCCCATTTCCTTTGCTTCATTTTGCAACTCTGATGCACTTGTGTGGGGGGTGAAAACCAGTACTTTAAGGGCACCATTGCACACAGTTTTAGACTTACTATTACATATTGGCCAGGTTTGAAAGCCGATTTGACAAAGTACTGCCGTTCATGCCATATTTGTCAGGTTTGTGGTAAACTGAACAAGGTTATTCCCGCTGCTCCACTGCCACCAATTCCGGTTATAGGAGAACCATTTGAACACATAATCCTGGATTGTGTCGGCCCGCTTCCCAAAACAAAATCAGGACATCAGTACATTTTGACTTTAATGTGCCACACACTACCGCGAAGCAATCCCACTACGCACGCTTAAGGCAAAAGCCATCGTAAAAGCCTTCATAAGACCGACCAAGGTTCCAACTTCATGTCAAACTCTTTGCTCAAGTCATAGCTTCGCTGTCTATTAAACATCAAAAATCCAGTGCATACTATCCTCAGTCACAAGGCGCACACAAACGTTTCCATCTAACATTAAAATCCATGAATCAGAAAAAAATCCATGAGGGTTTACCACTCAGTCAGACAAGAACTATAAAATCAACTGAAACTCGCTTCATTCTGAACAGATTTTCATGAAATCTGGTTGTTATGAAGCTGAACCTGATACTGATTGGAATTAAAGACTCCACCCTAAAACATATATGACTGATTTGACATTATTACTAAATTTATAGAAATCTGCCTTTCGTGGGTTAAAAATGTTTCAACTCGCCCTCTATTGTTTCAAAGTTTTAGTAGAACAGTTTAGATTTCACAATGATTACATCATCAGGTGTCTGAAGGTCACAACAGAAATGATCTCTAAAGAACGTTTGCATCATGTGCTTGTTAACTCTTCACACCTCTGATTGATCATGTGACAATAATGGAAGCAGGTGTGAAAGGTTTCTGCTGCTAATGAGCTCTGTGTGTGTGTGTGTGTGTGTGTGTGTGTGTGTGTGTTTATGCCTTTCTGTACTGTTTGTGGAAAGAGTCCTGAAAGTTTGTACTCAAGTAGAAGTACTCCTACATCAAAAAGTATTCTCCTCCAAAACTGCTCAGAGTGTTAATGACTTTTTAACTGTTGATGTTTAATACATCATCAATACTTCCAACAAAGTAGATCTGCTTTGATTATAAATGGTATGAATGGAAATTTGTTTTTTTTAATATATACAGATAAAGTAGGAATTTTGTCAATTAAAAGATACTAAAGATGTTTTTGAACCTGCAAAGAAATCATGTAATCAATATGAATTTGCAAACAGCCAGTGTTATCAGTCTATATGTCTCCATTTGGTTTCTGTTTCTCCAAAAATCTTTAGTCACTAAATTAACTCCTGCTTTGTTCTGGTCAGCGTGGTCACTTCTCCAAACCTGAGCCTGCTGCAGATGCCGTTTGGTACAGAAGCCAGCAGCAGTAAAGGTCACAAAGCCTGCTCACTCCAATTTAGCAGAAGTAAAACAAAAAAGAAAAAAAAAGGTAATTTAAGGTTGCTCTTTTCACGCTGATGTTGTCTTTTTTATCATCAGTTTGGTTTTAATTAGTTATCTGAAGATATAAAAAAGGTGACAGCTGAGCCATGCTCGTGATTGAGGTCTGCTGTATCCTGTTGAAAGATGTTGTTTTACAGTGTCAGTAACAACTCAGAAGCTTCTCCAAATGTCTTTGCTGTTGTTATTTTTTGGGTCTGTTATTTTTTGGGCCTTTTATTGCCTTTATTTGATAGGGACAGCCAAAGATAAACAGGAAAGCGGGGTAGAGAGCAAAGGGCCGCAGGTCGCATTCGAACCCAAGGCCGCTGCAGCAATGACTCAGCCTCAGTAGATGGGTCACCAGCTCTACTGACTGAGCTAACCGGGTGCCCCACACTAAGCTTCTTGTAAACTTCATTTGTTGTCTTCATCCTTCTTGTGCACACAACATAATCCCACGACCCACAGTTTAATTTTTGACCACCTGCAGAAAAGTAAAAAACACCAGCCCCCGCAAGATCTGTGTTTGGTCCTGTGGGATTTACTGGATCTCAATCCCAGTGCAGCCCTCTACCCTACTCAGTAGCACAGACATGATCATAAGTCCACATAACTCTTTTAGACTGGATAGGTAAACTCGTGTGACCACAAAAATAAACCTGTTGAAGTAAAGAGGTGGTTTATTCACAGTTACAGTTAGTTATGGAGTTCCACGAATTGCTCGGCTACGTTGGCAGGCCAGATTGGCTATTCACTTGCTGATATATGTTTCACTTTAGCAAGCATTATTACGAAATCACTCCATTAACTTTAATTTGTTCACGCAGATCGAGCAAGATGCCGTAGTTATATCTATCGGATGCAAGCCCCGACTGAATAGTTGAATCAATCTATCTAATATTTACAAACTCATTCCTTAACGGGACATAAAACATCGGATTGCAGCTGCGAATTTTCTTGAGGTGTGTAAACTCAGAAAAAATTGAAATGTCTTGCCTGTACTCGGCCCCAAAAACCTCCGAGACTCACTGTCCAAAGATATAGTCACTCTACATGGTATTACCTTGGCCTCTAGCACCACTGTGGAGCTATCTTTGATCAGGACATGTCATATAATTCCCACATAAAGCAAACCTCCAGGACTGCCTTCGTTCATCTCTCTGCTCTATTTGAAAAGTGTCCTGAGATAACTTCTGTTATGAATTGGCACTATACAAATAAAATTGAATTGAATTGAATTAAATTTACTCCTGGTCCTACGACCAGGACAGAATCCACTTTGGTCCTCCTGGACCTGAGGCTCAACAATCGGTCAGAGTACACTGCAATAAACTTTCAAAGGGAGGCTGAGCAGCGTGCTACCCCGATAATCAAGCACACCCTTCAGCATCCAGGTCTGCCACTCCAGACGCACTGTCCATGACCTCCATGTGACACTGAAGATACAAGTCAGCCAAGACAACCCAACAATGTCCAGAGCCTTCAGCGTCTCAGGCCGAATCAAAAGTCACTGGGGAGCTTCTTAAATATCTTGGAGACCTCTGCTAGGGAAATGGGTGAGGCTTCCCCCAAGTCTTCAATTTCTGCCTCTTCCACAGAGGACGTAGTAGTTGGATTTATGAGTTCCTCAAATTGCTTGACAATATCCATTATCATACAATAGCCTCCCTGACATACTTCCACACCGGGGTTTTGCTTTGGTGACCAATGAAGCCACAGCCCTTCTGACCACCCAGTATCATTCTGCTGCTTCAGGCCCCTGGACCAAGCGAACCACAAGGCCTCTCTCTTCAGCTTGATGTCGTCTTTAACAGGTTGCCACCACAACTTGCACCAACAAACTTCTGACCATAACTCTGTGCGATCCACAATGGAGGCTTCGAATTCAGCTTTCCATCACCTGTCAAACTCAGACGGGATGCATGACAATTTCTTCCGGTGGAAGGAATTAAAGACCTTGCAGAAAGGGATCTGTTCACTTTTACTGCATGTTTGGGTTTACCAGATCTTCCCAGTCTACCAGTTCAGTCTTCCCCACCATGTGCTCCTGTCTCCACCCGAGCCTCTAAGACATTCGGTCACAGGTCTGATGATGCAACCTCAAGGTTTCTCATTAATCTTTGGCCTATGGTGTTATGGTACCACGTACAATCTTGAACCAAACATTTTGTTTGTTATGGCCAATCCATGGCTGACACAGAAGTCTTATAACAAAGAACCACTCTGGTTCAGATCAGTCAGGCCATTCCTCTCAATCAGCTCCAGGTTGGCTAAGCTGCGGGCTCCTGGATATCTCGACACCTGTGCGGCGCCTCGCACCCTGGGCAACTCCAGAAAAGGAGAAAGTCTAGCCTCACTCCTGGACTTTGGTATCAGACGCAGTGCCATGTGTGGAGGTAAACCCGACTACTATAGTTGGGACCGCTCAACCTACTGCACTAGCTTTGATTCCCACCTTCCCAGAGAGGTGAAATTTTACATCCCTAGAACCAGTTTGTCAGTTTTTTCCTCAGAAATGAACCACTAATCTCTGTTTTTCCCTGTGAATTTGTGACTTGAATTCACTTAAATTTCGGAAATTCTGAATTTTCAAATACACACACATCTAATGGTAAGTAGGGCTCATAAAAGAATCTTGCACTGGGGTCCTACATTGATAGAAACGATGCCCTCTTCCTCTCCCTTCGGGTTTGAGAGGGGAGGGAGGAGGAAGAGATAAATGAAGTGCATGACTCACAGAGAGCTCAGCAGC